GGCTATAAGAGGAAAAAAAGGTAATACGTTTCTTTAAAAAGGTATTTCTTTTAGAATTTAGGGGGAAATCTAGATTACATAGTACTCCTCAGAGGTTATGTAGTTGCAAAGCAAACCTTGTAAAGGTAACCATTACTAATTCACAAATGATATACTTGAGGAAGGCGGTAAATATCCAAGCTTGGCACAAGCTTGAACAATCCATTAACAATAATAAAGGCTGAGCAGCGGGGAGATAGACCCTTAAAGGCAAAAGTCAGCTTGATATTACAGCTCTAAAGGTTTCCTAATACGGCTAAACTTCAATATAGCTGCTCACCTCACCTTTAATGGCTCCTGGCTATGCACTGGCTGAGCATGTGTGGACATTCTAAATCTACTTTTCTGCGATATCGCTGAATAGTGGAGGACAATTTATGATAGTGTTCCTGTGTCTTTGGTTGATGGGGTAGCAATAAAAATCACCAGTTTTGAATGATACCTCTGAAGATCGGCCTACATAACTAGCACATGTCTGTAAAATTTCAATACTCAACCACCTGGCCTAAAAAGTACCTAAGAACTACTTCTCATATTGCGATTTGACACTTCAGTGTCTTTAGTCTTATCCCAGTTTAGTGCTTTAATCCTGCTCCTTTTTAAAACATTTCAAGGACTGATGATTTGGACTGTTTGCCAAAATTACAGTTGTTCTTTGGATAACAAAAAAAAAAATAAAATAAATAAAAATATTTGCACCCAGTCTCAACTTTACAAGTCTTGTTTCACTTCCCATTACCTGCTCTCTGCAGGGTGAATCCAAAAACCCAGAAGGGGAAAGGACACTGCAACAGAAAGAAGGAGCAAAAGAGGCGAGAGTGCAAGCTCTTAAGTAGATTGCAAAGAACGGCGCAGAGGCATGAGTGTGAATATTAAGAGGGTTTTCTCCTGACCAAGAGGTTCCAGCCTGCAGCAAGTGCACCACCAGAGAGAGAAAGATATGGTGACACAAAAAATGAAAAAGGCAGTGGCAAAGACTCCTACAGAATCACCAGCTATTTAGGAAATGGTTTCAGCGTAGGTATCAGAGACCACAGTAAACATCCTTGCTATTTCTATGTTCTGGATATCAAATTACTGCACTTGAATTAAATGTAAGATTCCTTTTTCAAAGGATGACATTTTTTATTTTAAGTAAATAAATAAATGAAAAAATAATAATAATAAAAAAATCAGAATTATAGGAGAGAAAACTCACCTGGAATGCCTGGTGGGGTTTTCAGGTATTTTCCATTGAAATGCTGTATCACCACCTCACACTTTTCCGTTGACTCCATTCTGCAAGGGGAATACGTTAAATTAGCATATTTAGTATAGATTTAGGAAGAAAATGAAAAAATATTTATCCATAAACACATTTATTACCATCTCAACGATATTTTGAGCAGTTAGAAATTGAGAGGTCAATGTAGCTAAACAATAAGTTTTAGTATTACTAACTGATAAGTGCAAACAATTATTGGAGAAGCCGAAATGTTCCTTTGAAATGTAACTGAAGGACCAGTTATGCGATTTCTGATCCTACTCCCTTCAACTCAGGTCCAGGCTCTGCCTGAAGTGGATGGCTTTAAGTATCTTTGCATCTTTCTAAAGGGAGATGGTCAACCTAGAAATGCTTTTTCCAACATGAGAGGATAAGGGAAACTCTCTATACAATGTAAAGATAATAGCAATTTAAAATAAAAAATATATATATATTATCTGCTTTTCTCAGCATTTCAATAAAATGCTTAACTTATTTACACCCTTCTCAATAATAAGGTTTTGCTCCACACATCCTCTTTCAGAGTCAATCCAATTTACTTTATTTATATACCACATTTAACAACAAAGAATATGTTTCCATTGTGCTGTACATAAAACACAACACAAAGGCACACAGAAAAAGCATTAAGAATTTAAAATAAATAAATTAAAAAAATTAAAAGGACCCAGAGGACCACTCAATTATGCGGTGTTAAAAACCAAAGAGTAAAAGAAGGTCTAAAGCCGGGCATAAACTGTGCGATTTTTTTTCATTCGTTGCATGCAGCTACTGCTCACACTGTACGACGAAATTGCAGGGTTTCGTCGTACAGTGTGAGTTCACAGGTCACGATGTATGTTCTCACACTCTGTGACCCGACGCTCTGATCTACCTGCTCACACTGTACGTCTAAAAACCACGTCGGACTCAGCTCCGCAGTGAGATGGCACTACTCGGACTGGTCTATCCAGAAGCCAAATGAGTAGAAGAGGAATATGAAGCTCACTAAAGTGAAATGCTGCCTTGGCAATTTGTGCAATTTTGTGCTGAAAGCGCTAAGAAGAAAATGCGGCGATGTATTTGGACAAAGACATGGCTGAGCAAACGTGGTTATGGCAGTCTGTCAATTTTACTGAAAGAACTCCATTTCACTCGCATCCCCGCCACGCTTCTGTGTTTTCATCTGAGAGGAAGAAAAAGAAGAAGAGTCCTTGTTTGCGCATGTCCACTGAGCGATACTCCCATGGCAGTCGACTGAAAATTAAACATGTTTGATTTTCTCCCGACCTCACGATTACTGATCGGGAGGTGGTCGTGAGAGGCTGATCGCCCCTCGTTATAAAAGAGTGTAAAAGCTGGTCAAAGAGGTTAAAAGATGAAAAACAGTTTTACCTTAGATAAAATATGGAGATGAAAAAAAACACAATTTTAAATGCTGTTTATTTGTTTGTCCAGTTTGAAATCGCTGTTTATGGTGACACCAAGGCTGGTTACTTTGGAACGTACAAAATCATTGAAAGGTCCCAAGTCAGAAATGGCCCTGCCAAACACCGTCACCTCTGTCTCGCTCTCATTAAGTTTCATAAAATTGTTTGATAAGCAAGCCTTACTGTCACTCAGACAGTCAAGTAGGTGCGTCGGGGGCCAGTGGCTGTTTTTAGCAAAAAAATAAAAAACTCAAAAAGGGAGAGGCTGGTCGACTCCAAAACTTTCCAGTCATGAAATTGTCTAAGAACCATTAAAAACGTTGAATTTACTGTATTTAGTAGAACCAAAAGAACAGCACTAAAAATAAGGGGAAGACCTTAAATCAATCTAACATATGTTATTATATATTAGGTGTTCCACCTGAATCTACGTATACATAAATGCATATATGTATGTGTGTTTATATGTGCAAATGGATATATAGCCTTGGAATATGCTTGTACAACTTGACTGAATTTGGCTAAATCTTTGTCTTTTGAGATCAAAACATTTTTGAAAATGGCTACTGATTAAGTGATTTTCAGCTAACCCAAAATTCGCTGGGAAAACGTACCAGTTTTCTTTTTCAAAAGATAAATTTTTGTTCTGCAAAGACCTCTATCTGAGGACTGTGTTCCCTTTGGCAGTGCACCATCAGTCTGTTCTTTCAAAAAAGGTCCAGTGAGACTATAAAGAGTCTGTCCACCTGTCTGTCTGTCTACTGTGGAAGATCATTGTCTGCATGCATAAGAAGGTGATAATGAAATTCATCGCTTTAATGGAAAAGGTTGTTATGCAGCCTGTGTGCATAATCAAAACTTCAAGGCACAGAAAGAGCAAAAGTGCCATTTGAAAGTTTTCAAAGATGTAAAAGAAAATGTAGAATGTCGTGTACATAAAGTGCTAAAATATTCTGAATACAGCAGCATAGTTTATAGCGTAAAACAGAGAGAAGAGATACCAAACTTAGTTCAGTAAGACGTGACATGCCAACAGACTCTTTTGCTAGACATATGTTTAATAAAATTTGTATTTGTCCATGAAATATATAAGCACTATTTATTGCCATATGAATATTTACAGACATTACCTGTTATGTACCGTGCTGAATTGTAAATGTCCCGTTTTAACCCATGCATTTTATAAGCACATAGTTGTATGCAAGGCTTGGGAATGCATCATGCAATACTCAACAGCTAATAAAGCTACAGACTTTAAATGACCTTGGATTGCACATTTCTCTGATGTTAGTAGGTATTTAATAACTGTGCAGTATTTTTTATATTTTGTAGGTCTGCCCTTACTGTATATTTGTTTTCACATTTACTGTTTATATTAACATTGATAAGGGCACATTGCCACAGCAAAAAAAACTACCATCCTCTACCTCTATCCTCTACCTGTGAAGACAGAGGAATCTGTGGGGGATTCAAGCGGACCTGAGCCTTCAGGCTGATTTATACTTCGAAACTAGGTGGTCTACGTAGGTGTAGCAGTGAACAAAAAGACGACCCTGCCCCCTCCGCAGACACTCTGCTGCACCTCTCCCAAATTGTAGGTGACCGCAGACAGTGCCGCAGACAGGAGGCCGACTTGTTTTGTTTTTATGACCGCAATTGCGGAAAACAAACTCAATAGCAAGTTTGACCAGCTAGAAGAGCAAGATGCGCAAGAACGCTGGGACCCTTTTTCCACCTAAACCTCATCAGCTCTTTTTCGCCCTCATGTCGCTCCTTTGTCTGACAAGATCACCACCTCAGCCGTATCTAGACCCACAGCTAGTTCATTATTCTCTTGAGCATAAATCAAAAATGTCTGCGTCAAGCTCACTGCGACACACTGCTGTGGGGAATATAACCAACTCTTCAGAGAGTCTGTGTGGCTGCCACCCACTTCCCACATATGCTGGTTATCTTTGGGACCATCACCCCACACCTCTCACCAACCCTCATTTGACTCACACTTCAATGAGGCATGTGAGCAAAATGACTCTGATGAGGGAGGTAACGAGCCATCAGAACCCCTTAATGACCATTAACACCTCCCAGGTGAGCTCCATGGCCAATCCAGTAAGAGGGATCACAGCCACCTTTTGTTTCCCCAAATGCTTTGTTACACCTACAGTATATTAATCTCAGTGCTCCCTACCACAAGTTAGAACTGTGGAAGTAATGGGCTAAACTGAACGTTTCAAGCTTAACCATGACCTGGTTGACTGAGAATCTTCACAGATATCATTAAAAACCTGCTGACATCAGTTCTCTCTTGGTGAGGTCATATCCCAGGCTAAGCCAATAGGAAAATCTTAAAATTGCAGCACCCTCTTTTTTACTCTTAAGAGGGCACCAAATCGACAGTTTTAGAAAATTTTAAGAAATGATTAGAAATTAAACTGGGATTTTAAGAAATGTGCAGTCAATTGTCAAAAAATGCCAGGGACATGTACACGGCACTAAAAAAATGATATTTAAAAAGCTAATCAGCAAAAGAAAAAAAAAAGTCAATTTAGGGGCAAGTAGTTGTTTAAATGATGAAAGCCTGGAAAAAAAAAAAACTTTCAGAAAGGACTGCCTCAAGCTCAGGATTGCTCTCTGGGCAACAGAATTGTAGTACAGTAGCAATGTAAAGTTCAAATACGAGAACCCTCTCAAAATACAAATAAATATGTTGGAGGGTCCCAGCTGTCTAAACTAGACTAACCAAGTGGCGGTGTTTGAATCATGTACAGTGCATTACAGAATGCTGATCTAAACAAGTATTAGATTGTATTCCAATACTGTGATCGATCCATCCATCCATCCATCCATCCATCCATCCATCCATCCATCCATCCATCCATCCATCCATCCATCCATCCATCCATCCATCCATCCGATAACTGGAATATAACTGGAGATTCATTTTTTCAGTAGTACAGATTGGGTATATGCAATCAGATCTTAATATGGCATTTAAATACAAGCAATGGAGTTCTCATAAAGACCTGTCTATGCAATAACTGTGTCCTTGTCCTTCCAACCAGGTCCCCATTTATTCCCCAACTGATCAAAAATTGGTTTAACTTGGATATTGACTCTGATCCTGCATTTAAAAAAAGCCACAGGCTAAACTGCCTCAGGAGAAGATCATTCTACTGATTCTCTCTAATTAGCTTTTGTGCCCTGAATTTAGGCACTTCCACAACCAATTAGTATGGGAACATCACTGTCTAGATACTGCCAAACTGTTAACCGTTTGATCTGGCATATTACACTCATTGCAGTACAGTCCAATGGATTATTTCTTTATTAACCCCAGTAACCTTTATTTTCAGTGTATTTTTAATGGTACACTTCAATTTTCATTTACAAGTGGCACAAAACTAACCTACAGTACAGTATGTATCTGAAAAACTTTTAAAATATAGAATTATTAAACACATTTGCTCTTTGGAGATAAGTCCTTGAATGCTTCATACATTTAAATTTGACTGAAGCTATGAAATATACATCAGTCAGTTTCCCTATTTTGGCAAAAACAAAGCAGCTTTCTTTGTATTTTATTCTAAGTCACTGGCATTATTAGT